TCTAGAACACGAACTCATTTTCATATTCATGAGTCTAGAACATGAAATCATTTCATTGTCATGAGTCTAGACACATGAACTCATTTTCATCTTCATGAGTCTAGAACATGAACTCATTTCAATCTGTCATGAGTCTAGACCACGAACCATTTTCATCTTCATGAGTCTAGACCGACGAACTCATTTTCATCTTCATGAGTCTAGAACATCATTTTCATTTCATGAGTCTAGAACAAATGAACTCATGTTTAATCTTCATGAAGTCTAGAACATGACTCATTTTCATCTTCATGAGTCTAGAACAAGAACGTCATTTTCATCTTCATGGTCTCACATCCTATGAGACAATGTCATTTTCAGGATGTAAGTTTTACAGGAGTTCACTTCAATCTGTTTCATAAGAGTAAGTTCTATATCACTTGTCATCGTGTCATTTTCATCAGTATGCGTCTAACCAGGTAAAGTCTTATTATATATACTATACAAAAGAATTACTCACTAGTACTTCCAAGAGTTTCGACACATTTCCACGTCGATCAAACTACTGAAAACATATGACGTCCATTTTCGTACCACCTAATGAGGTCCACTTTTGCCCAGACAAATTAAAAAATAACACTTCTACTCTTTACTGCATGAGTCGTTCAGTCTGAATAAATCCTGTGTTTCTTCTTACGTAGTCCTACTTTCAAATTAAAGTAGGTAATCTAGGGAGGAAGCAAAAGTCAAAAGTACTCTTTTTAATAAAGGTCTAGTAAAAATAAGACCTATTTACGGAAACCTATTTGAGAATTAATGTGAGAAATGCTACTGTGGAAGCACGGTTTGATAAGCTACTTCAGTGGAGAGTCCTATTGAAACCGAGAGACCCAAATATTTAGTCTCTAATCCACTCTGATTAATGTCCGGGACAATTTGGTTTGTGGGTGTTAACCCGGTATTACGCACAGTAATTATCAGGCATTTGCTGCAATCTCCGTTACCCCAGGTCGACACAAGGGGTGGGGGATGAGGAGAACAATCGTATCGTGGACGAAACGAGGGTACTCAGTCCTTTGACGTCGCTACTTTCGTACGGGTTTTACTTTGACTGGCTCTCGGAACAATCTTAAATTTTTTCGTACGTCGGACACTACTAAATTGAGACGCCGATTATCTCCTCGAAACACAAACAAGGGAAAGAAGCTCGCGTTGGAGATCGACCGTTGAAAAGACGAAGTCTGTGCTTGTACTAAAGAAGTGACAAACTATCTCTAATGAGACTATTTTTGTACCTTTGGTCTAAAACTTTGAACCTTCACTTTGACACTCTTTTCAGTGTATAGTAGTGCATGACGCGTTGAAGAATCCTGAGGAAATAGTGTTTGGTCCACAGTCTGCAAAGAAAGTCAAAACTACTTTCGACACAAACGACACCAGACGACCCCGTAAACTACTTAGTGCCTAATCCACATATATCTTTCGATTCGAGATTTTTCGAGTTCACCCGCTATTTCCTTGATGTCGTGCAGGTGTGGGAACAACTGAAGTCCAGTCGCCTGGGCGATCGATTTCCACCGATTACAACCCGATATATTCCTGATGCTCGTGCGCAGGTGTACTGAAGTCGCCGGTGGTAGCGATTCGAATTTTCCACATGTGACGACCCGATATTCTCTTGATGTCGTTGTCAGTGTACTGAAGTGCAGGTGGGTGCGAGATCCGATTTCCACCGATTACAACCCCGAATATTTCCTTTCGATTACGTGCCAGTGTAACTGAAGTGCAGGTCGGCGATTCGATGTCCACCGACCCTTACAACGCCGAATATCCTCCTTAGATGTCGTGCCAGTGTACTAAGATCAGTGGTCTTTTACTCAAGAACAAGATCTGAGTACTTCTAATTTTACTCAAGCACAATAAGTACTTCTCCAACCTCTGCCGTGCTGTAGTTCCTTTATATTCCAACATTAGCCACCTTTAGCTTAGCGGTGGTGACGAGAAGTCATGTGACAATTTTGGTTACACAGACAATTGCTATTTGAGATTTTCTGAAGTGTACTCACAAACTCGGTGATGGGGTCTCCGGTCAGCGGGGCGTAGAAGATCTTGTACTGCCTGACGGGACCCTCGGCGTGATCCCATCCGATGGTCAGAGTGCTGGTGGTGGCGTCATAAACTCGCATGTTCCTGGGACCGCCTCGAGGCACTGCAGCAGCAATAATCATAATACACTTTATTTGTATATATATATATATATATATATTTCATGCACAAAGCAGCCCAAAGTGCTGCAGGTTTTTATAGAAATGGATCAGGACAAAAAGTGAGAGAATCTTTTGTTCCTGAAACTTTCAGAATCTCTTTCCACAGAGGGGACACATGTTGATGTAGAAGAGACATGAAGAAGAGGGGACACATGTTGATGTAGAAGAGACATGAAGAAGAGGGGACACATGTTGATGTAGAAGAGACATGGAGAAGAAGAGGGGACACACGTTGATGTAGAAGAGACATGAAGAAGAGGGGACACATGTTGATGTAGAAGAGACATGGAGAAGAGGGGACACATGTTGATGTAGAAGAGACATGAAGAAATGGATGTTGCATAATAGGTGACTTTTAAAGGATTGACTCTTACGTAAACATGCATATGACTCAGTGTGGATGTTAACAATAATCAGCATGAGTCAGATTGTACTCACGTGTTTTGCCGTTGCCTCTGATTGGAGATCCCTCTCCGTCAGCGTACAGAGCGGAGACGTTGACAGAGTAAGGAGTGTCTGGGATCAGGTTATCCAGGAAGGCGTTGGTCACACCTCCAGGAACCAGGACCTTAGAGGAGAAGAAACCCAAGGGTCAAAGAAATATCCAGACATAGGGCTGAGATGGAGCTCCCTGGTTGGTGTAAGCCTCAGACGATGGAGGTTTTATGGGTAATGGGTTTTTAAGTCAACTTGAAAGATCCATTGAGAAGGTATTCAGAACTTTGATTAGAACAATCTTTCTAAAATGTTCAAATCAAGCTCTAATGTTTAAATAAAGTAAAAACAATCTGGACAATAAGTATTTTAACTTCTGACTTTTGTTGTCTACACTTTCCTTATTTATTCATTACTTTCGGTACTAAATGTTTCTCCAGTGTTTATTGCTCAGAAATCTGGACAACATAGAGAGAAATAAGGATTTTCACTTATGAATGTTTTAGATGTGATAGTCACCTCCACTAACTAGGTTTTGTTTTTGATATTATATCGTCTGTCTTCAATAAAGCTCCCACAACTTCTGTAAAACATTCCCCAGTCATGGATAGTCTGTGTTTGACTTCCCAGAAAATTCAATCTGATTTGTTTTCAGTTCAATTTGCTGGTTTGTTCTTTTGTGAGATGCATTTTTGCAGTGTTTGGAAAAACGACAGGCCCAATTTTCATTGAATTTGGTGGAACGGTTTTGCATTGGAGAAGACACAACCCAATATATTTGGAGAAGATACTGCTTGTGGAGAGGTGTCTCAGAGAACTCTTCTGGCTAACTGTGGATCCCAAACATTATGGAAAAGTTGCTATCCTTGTATTCTGTCACATCTCAACAGCGCCTGACATGCATTACATAGCGATCTGGCAGTGATCGTGTACATAATGACCTCACTGCTCATCCCACAAACATGCATCCCGCTGCCAGAGTATTCCTGAAACACTAACAAAGGCCCGGGAGGTTAAACGCAAAACAAATCGTTCATTCAGTGAGTGGACTGACGGATAAACAGAGTCTGCGAGGAAGCGGCTGGAGAGCGGGTTCAGACACGAGTTTTCTGACAACAAGGACCGTCTCTTGTCCCGGGGATTATCACGGCATTTATCCCCTGTTACTGAAAATGCGAGGTTACATCATGGGAAATATATCTGGTGGTTGAACTCGAGGCCACCCTCATTTGGAGCTTTTGTTTTGGTTATAGAAAATATCTCAAAGGGTTTTCGGAGCGATGATGATGTTCTCATGATGATGCTCAGTGATGATGTGGTTGAGATACCACAACTGGTAGCTCATAAACTGCTGCTGGCCGCGGTTCAAATCCCTCCACGCATAAGTCCATTGGCTTCTGAACAAGATGAATTGTGTTTGATTGGATGTGTAGTAATTTCCTGAAGGCAGAGCTGCTGAGATGTAGCTCCCTGACTGAGGTAATGGAGCCGAAGAATCCCAGTTTTTATGAGTAATAATGAGTTTTTAAAAGGGGTCAAGTTTACTGTGTTAACAAGTGGACTTGAAGGATCCACTGAGACGATACTTGAGAGTACACTTTGTCTAAAAAGCTCCAAGTTGGGCTGTGATGTTGGCCAATTAAAAATAACTGATGGATAGCTTCTAGAATACGTTGTCCACCCTCTACTTACTTAAAAATCAGTTTGCTTAAACTAACTTTGGGTACTAATTGTAGGTCTAATGTGTCTCCAGTGACGCAAACACAAAACCAGCTCAATAAAGAAATGGCTTGTGTTGTAAAACTTGATCTAAACCCCATTCCATATCTTTGGGACTAGCTGAAACTCCTACTAATGGCCAGGCCTTAACGCCTCACGTCGCTGTTAGACCTCACTGAAGTTGTTGTGTCTGATGGGAACAAATCCCTGCAGCCAACATCTGGAACAAAGCCTGAAACCAGGAGAGTTGAGACTTGATGCCCATGTTGTTGGAATTACATGGTCTACTATCACATGTGGTGCATCTAAGAGCTTCCACATGGTTTTGGCCGTATTGTGCTGAACCGTGGAAATGTTTTGGGCTATTTCTACTCAGGTGGAACTCATGCAATGCAACCAAGCATGGATTTTCTCTTTTAAAGTAGCCCTATCTCCTCATACTATCTACAGATTATGAATTCCTCTGTTTGAACACGGCATATTTGACATCTGTTGTGTGAAATGAGGCTCAATTAGACTGAATTATCATCGGACATCTTTCCTGAGCTCATATCTGTGTCTCTGCCAAACCAACCAGACCAAAACAGCATCAAAGTTAATTAAAATAAAACAGAACAGAAGTGAAAATAGATAGAGGAAGCGGTGAGGACAGGGGAACAATAAACAACTCTCTGTGTTGACCATGCAGATGATATACTGTAATATTAGCTTCACCGCGTCGTCAAACAGATGCTAATCATCACCAAATTAGATTACAGCCTTATGGCTCCAACATCTCCAACCAAAGAAGCTTCCTCTGATGAAAGTCACAGATGTGAACGTCATGCATTGTTTTCAAACTTTTCCCCAGAGCTCAGACTCTTCCTGTTGTAATAAAACCCTCTTTTGACTCCAGATTATGCACTGCTGCGTGAAATCAGTGCTGATGGAGGGAAAAAGCTGACAAGTCATGATTTCCATATTTACCAGCATCGCTGTAATAACTGCTGCTCTAACATCTGTGCAACATCAACTTGATGAAACATAAAAATAGAAATATAGCCAACATTTACAAGCTTAGAATATACAGAACCATTTCTCACTGTTTGATCAGATGTGGAGAACAGATGGATTCAACTTTATTATAACTTTTCCAACAACTGAATACATGCAACCCGAGTTCAGGGACACAGTTTAATGGAAACTAGCTGTACAAAAAGTATCCAGAGGTGGGAAAATCCAAGAGCTACAAGTCTGAAGTCAAGTAGGTCACAAGTCAAGACCCAAATCAAGAGCCACATTAGGAACCAAGTCATGACAAGCGAACCTCAAGAACCAGGTCAAGGACTACAAGTATAACGTCAAGTCGTACGTTTATTAAGATAAGACCAACAAGCCCTAAGACAAAGACCCAGTTAAGACTATATCATCTGAAGAAGAGAATAAAGTCAAGGCAAACATGTCCCAAGTCAAGAATTAAATCCAGCCAACAAGTCAAGACTACAGAGTTTTAGGTCAAAGCAAACAGGTCCCAAGAAAACAAGACTATAGAGTCTTAGGTCAAGAACATAGCCTAAGCTAACAAGTCCAAAGTCAAGACTCTCAATTAAATGCAAAGTCATGACTAACACGTCTCGAATCAACACTACAGATTCTCAGTGCAAGAACGTGAACAGGTCCCAAGTCCGAAGACTAGAGAGTCTTAAGTGAAGAAGAAAGTCTAAGCCAACAAGTCCCAAGTCAAGACTACAGACTCTGAAGTCAAAAACAAACTCAAGGCTAACAAGTCCACACTACACAAGAACAATGTCATGGTGAACAGGTCCCAAGTCCGACGACGAGAGAGTCTTGAGTGAAGAAGAAAGTAAAGGCCAACAGGTTCCAAGAAAAGAAGAGTATAGAATCTAGAGTCAAGAACATAGCCTTGGCTTACAAGTCCAAAGTCAAGACTAGATTCTCAATTCAATGCAAAGTTATGGCACCACAGATTCTCAGTGCAAGAGGGTGAACAGGTCCCGACGGCTAGAGAGTCTCAAGTGAAGAAGAAAGTCAAGAAAAACCAACGAGCCTGAGACAAAGTCAGATCCCACGTTACAAGGCACACTTTTTAAAAGTATTAGGCCTTTTTAGAACTAAATTAACAATTTATTGAAAGAACAAAAGGAAAATTAATCGTGAGATGATCTGATAATAACCATTAGTCATCACTTTATCCGTCATGAAATCTCCTTTATCTCAGAACAAGCAGGACAAGAGCTGCTTGTGGGATGAGATCATTCCACTTCATTATAATCCCCATTAAAATCATCTTATCTCAACAATTTCCTGGATCCACATCACAACCAGCGAGGGTCGACCCTTTAAGAGTTTGCAATCAAAAAATAAATCTTATCTCACTCGCAGATTTTTAAATAAAAGCTTGTCAGTTATTGGTCTTTGTATTTATGGCTGTAATCCTTTGAGAGCAGAGACGGTCATCTCAGGGGAAAGCACCTCTTCCTCCCACGTCAGGCGGATTCTGGGACGCCAATGAGAGTCTGTGTTTTTACAGCCTGCAGAGAGAGAGCAACTCACCGACCCCGGGGCTCTTTTATTTGACATTTAGAGGAATATATCCATAGGCAGATTTTGCGGAGGGGGGGGGGGCGCAGGCAGGGGGGGAATCGAACTACGTCGAAAACTGTTCCAATATAAATATTTCGTATATCAATATTTTAATAAGGTAGGACACTGGTTAATAATATTGTAGCGTGTTCAAGTAACCAAGGGATATAGTTATCAAATAAGTATAAGATGCGCACAGTTTTGATAAGTTGTACAGTTATGTAATGCACTGTTGTTGGGGGGAGAGACCGCCCCTTCCCTATGAGTGTGTGTGTACGGCGGGCATGAGGCGTGCATGACGGGACGAGTTGTGTTCGTATGTGGAAAAGTCATACTCAGTGCGGTGAGCGCTGGCTTTATTGCTACTGTATCCGTAGCACCCCACGCAATAGTTGTCCGTAAAAAAGGTTTGCCCCCCCAAGCGCAAATGTCAAACTCCGCCTATGAATATATCCACAACTTGAAGGGTTTGAAAGACATCAACTGTTCACAGATATGACAGATTGGACAGTTTCCACGGTAACATCCATGAGTTGACGTTGATCTGTGGGCAGTTGTATTTGTCTTACCGGAGTACTGACCCTCAAATAGGTCTCAATCTTAAATTGTTCCTTGTTTTTCTTTGTCATCGGCTTTTTGTTATAAGCACTAGACATTTTGTCTTGTTACTGCATTTGGGTCCTGCCTTACCCCAACATCCTGACACTTTATTAAATATAACAAAAGACAAACTTTGCCCATGAATCATGTATCAGTTCCTCTTAAGCATGTCCTCCACTAACGACGGTCTGTGTTTTGTACAGCCCGCAGAGAGAGAGAGAGTAACTCACCGACTCGGGGGCTCTGGATCCGGTCAGGGATCTGTACGCCACCTTGTACTGCTGCACCTGGCCTGAAGCCGCCTCCCAGCGCACGTTCAGGCTGTTTGCGGTGGGGTTGTACACCTGGATGTTCCTGGGTGGCGTACGTGGAACTGCAAAGGGGTCACAAAGGTTATGAGAAAGTGGAATGAGGAAGGAGGACTCTCTTCACTTAGCAACCAAACATACAAACAAAGGGTTTGTTCCAAGTTATATCCACTTTAGGAGCCGGAAAGCGACAGCTAAGGTTGATGGATTTACAAACAAGTTCCTGAAAATGTCCCGGTTGGAACGTTCAGAGCTAAACAGAAATGTAGGGAATGCAAAGAGGATTAGTCGGTTTATGTTTTGCATTTTTAAGAAGCTGCAATTTGAAATTTCGGCTGGTAAAAACAAAACAGCCTCTCTGTATGATGCATTTTAGAAACGTTTGGCTTCTTCAAAGTCTATGAAAGACTCTTACAATCGCTCGGCTTATTGAGAGACAGGTTCACAGTAATGTAAACGCAAAAACAAAATTCCTCAAAGGTCAGAACCTCGGTGAGCCTTATTAAAGAAATAAATCTGATTCCGTCTTCTACTTAGTTCTCTATTGGAATAACCTTCCAAAACCTCTGGCGTCCATCAAGAAAAAAAGGCATTTAATGAAGGAATAAATGGTCTAAATGGATGCAATGCATCACAGTCAGTCTGGACGCGCTGCTGAGTGCAGCCTATGAGTGTGTCTATGTGGAGGACGTGTAGAGAGAAGTAGCACAGTTCTGGGTTTATGCAAAAGCCCTTAGCTTGCCTGTTAAACCAAACCAGATGTGCATATCCCCCTGGTATTTGGAGCTTTACCTAATAAAACAGAACTAGATGCAGTAGGTAGATTTCAACAGAGCCTCCACCTCCTCAATAAAGACTTTCCCCCTAATGTTGGATCACCACGTCGTCATTTAATACCTTTAAATACAGAGGACAGAGTCTGTCTAAATGTTTGACTTCTATCATCCAAACACAAAATTGCCTTCTTTCCTCCAGAGAGATTATGTAATCTTGATTTAATTCTCTTTATTGTATAGCAGCATTCAGCAATTATTTTCCTCCACAGTGTTGGCCAGGAACAGTGATTTTTGTTCAGATAAAATGTGACAAATTCCTCCTGGGACAGAAACAGTAACAGTGGACTGAGTTACTGCTAATAAAAAGGTCCTTAACGTCACACAGAGGCTGTGATGGACTGACTCACCGGGAGCTCACCTGCCAACACGCAGACGTAACATGTGACCTTATCAAGTTCAGACTGACCTTCCTGCCACTCTGGAGGAATCAAAAACACTCATTTGCTAAGCGTGGAGTTGGCCTTCAGACCCATTTAACGCAGCATTGGTTTCTTGACAACATTGGTTCATATTTGAACTATAGCAAGAAGACCATCCTGATTGAGAGAATCTAGCCTAAAACCTTTGGAGAATAAAGAATGGTTTAGTGACTAATGCTCCAATAACAAAGTCGCCAAGAGGCTAAATGAGGCACTACACATCTATAGTCGTTGTGGTTTTCGAACTTCAAGAGCTTTCACCAGGAGGAATCCAAGATCAGAACATCTGCTCTTTAAACTTCATCTTAAATACATGTGAAAAGTGACATGGGAAAAGATGTAATATCCAATCTACTTTGTAGTATTACTTTTCCTTGTAGCCTGTTTCCTCTAGGGCCAACACAAACTGAGAGATGCCGTAAAGTTCCTACTATTACACACAACCTCTAAACCTGTATCTTACCCTATAATGGGCTGCAACTCAACGACAGGTCCACATATTTAGACTGCTTTAATGCGAACTAGACAAAAATATACCCTAACCCAAGCCATGGGGAACATACTTCAACCCAAACCATTTAGAATAATACATCCATAACTTTAGGGGTTTAACGCACCAAAAACTGATTGTACAGTTTAACAGTAACATTCATGATCTTACATTGGAAGCCAGATCTGGCTATTGTGGGCAAATGCATTTTTTTCCCCTGCAGTTCTCGCCCTCAAATATGTCGCAATCATAACCTCAAAAATTTGAATTGTCTACAAAACCGACTTGTATAAAACAAAAGGCATTCAATTACAATACATGTAGTCAATAAAGCCTCTGAATGATCCCCACAAGAAGAGAAGCATTCAGGCTTGTGTTTGCATGCTGGAGTCGTGTTTCCCTCACAGCTTCCCAATTAAATAAAACCCCAGGATGCATTTCTGCTGACTGGGCATGGCAGGCTGTCTGGCCAAAAAGAAAACCATCAGAGCGGGACATCAAACCACCCAGGAGACTCTTCAAAACACCAAATATTCCTCCATGCAGACTTTCCAACAGGAGCTGAAACGTTCCACATTATCTCTGCTGGAAGTTCTGCTATCAATCACTGAGCAGCTTCTCTTTTGTTCCATCCTCCCTTCCTGATTTAGGAGGTTTGGCTCTTTCTACAGTAGTTTTTTCCACTCAGGGATCACCTGGGATAGACTGTTTGTCTATAAAGATGTTTCTGCTGTCAGACTTTGCTGAAAAACAACGTTAAAAAACGACGAGTGAACTCTGGCCAGGAGCAGCAGACTCAGGTTCACTTCAGGAAAACACTCAACGGTTATCGTGGATGCTTTAGTGCATTGACATTTATTTTAGCAAGGGAGTGACTGCTCTGTTTCTCTTCAGTCCTGATGCTGGCAGCTGCTCAGTAAAAAGTGACATCTGACCTTTTCCTCACTGCAGGAGGGAGGTGGTTAAAAGGGAAACTCCAAGAAGTCCAACACCATTTAAAAAAAACAACAAGAGCCAACAATCAAAAATAAGCATGTTGACCTCGTTTTGTACCTCCACTATCCAGTGTCCACTATATCCCAAGTCTACAGTACAAATATGCTTTTTAAATATCATTACCAATGAAGAAGTATCATTTTCTAGACGTTTACACATTTACAGCAGCAGATGTCTTCCCACTAAGTCTGTTTATAGTGCGTTAATTAAGTCGAAAACAGCCCTAAAGTGTTGAAGGAGTTTAATTTGGTTTATAGAGTTTTTATCTTGCGCTTTACCACAATAGAAAAAATAAAGTCCTGATAATTGAAACTGCAGAAAAGGACGGCAAGCTAGAATATTTGTAAATTGCCAGAAAGTGGTTTCACAGTATTTCATAATAAGGAGGAAAAGAAAGAATAAATGAAAACCTGACGGGGCCTGAGACTAAATAAATAGGAATAAGCTGCATTTGAAAACATATTTGTACCAGCAAGAGAAATGTGTTTTTTATGTCCTGTTTTTATTTCATGTTTCTCTTTAGCGAGAGAAAACAGTCCAAAGATGAGGAATGAATAAAGTTTTATATTTTCTGAGAGTTGAATTTCTAAAAGCAGATGCTTTTTTTCTTCTGATCAGGCCATCCATGTGTTACATGACTTTATTCCTTTAACACGTTTTAGATTTCCTTTTAAAAGAAGAGTGAGTTTCTCTCCTGACATCTTTACTGCAGAAATATAAACTTCTAATTAAAAAAAGGCGCCCCAGATTTTTCTTTTGTCTATTTTTTGAGAGTCTTTCATCCCTAATTATTCATAACTGTCATAAAGGTTTGCACCAGGGTCTTCAGCTGCAGGGTTTAATCACATACAGTACATTACATTTAAGTCATTACATTTTTTCTCTAAAGTGACTCACAATAAATACTGTAAACCATGAAGATACAAATTCAGAACAGAAACCAACCCGGAGTTCCTCAAGGCTCCATCCTGGGGCCCCTTTTCTTTTCCATCTACATGTTCACACTGGCTCCGATTATCATACAAATAATAATAATAATAATAATACTAATAATACTACCTGGGATTTGTATAGCACTTTTCCTAATGCTCAAAGATGCTTAAAATAATGGAAAACAGTTCGGAAAGTTTGAAGACTTACGTGTTTTCCCGTCATCAGACTGGCGGATTCCCTCCCCCTCGGGGTAAACAGGGACGACGGTCACGGTGTAGGGAGTGTCCGACAACAGGTTCTTCAGGAAGGTGTTGGTGGTACCGCCTGTGACCTGCTCCTGCTCACACACACACACACACACACACACACACATATATGAACAATCCACATTATCTCGGATGTGATTTCTGGGAGTTTAATGAAAATTCAGCATGCTCGGATTACCGAAGGTAGAATTGATCTGAATCGGATAACAATACGTTATTATTTTTTCATCCTGGGGTTAATTTGGTTTTTCTTTTAAATAATGTAAATCACAATATTGACAACTGTGTTTTAGTATAATTCAGATATTCATGCTGAATTGCAAAGATTAATAGGGTTTGGTTGTTGATTGTGACGTAAGTCTTACTGCCAGTCTATGTCAAAATCAATTACTGACACTTACTGTATTTCCACACTTCAATTACATTTCTTAATCTGTATATTAATATTGTATATTCAATAAGGGATACTCTAGGTATACATATTTCACTGTTGATACGTATATATTTTAAGTGCAATGCTTGTCTAAACTCCATGCTGCTGTGGCGAAGGAATTTTCCCAAACTCGTATCCATAAAAGTATACCTTCTATCGTCTCTTAAATCTGCAAGTTCAACTTCCTGTGTTTATAGAACAGGAAGTGGTCCTGATGTCTCACCATGTCCTCGGCTCCTCCGGATGAAGGGACGTAGAAGATGCGATACTGCCGGACGTTTCCCTCCGCCGGCTCCCAGCGGACCTTCAGAGAACTGGTGGTGGGATCAGAGACCTGCAGACTCTTCACCCCGCCCAGAGCCTCTGTCAACACACACAGAGAAACATCCGTCAACTTCCTGTTTGAGTTACAGCCGCTAACAAATTACTCTCCGTTTGACCTCGTCACATCAGCAACAGATGGAGCCTGCAAGCAAGCGTCAATCACAGGAAGGTGACATCTGCTTATTTTCAAGATATTTTTCATTGGTTAAATAAACTTCCTTGTTCTGTAATTACACCAGATTATCTCATATGCACTTTATTAAAGGTCTCCTATTTTACTATTTTCAGGCATATATTATAGGTCTCAGATATATAAAAAGGTAGCCCACATTTCCGATATTACGTCATGACCGCAGCAAATCTGGATCAGCTCCGTTGAACCCCCGTTTTAAGAGATTTGGGTACGGAGGAAAAGAGAGGGGTTTGTTTTCTGACACGCCGGGGACATATATGTATAAGAGACATCAAAAAGTGCATTTTCCATGATAGGAGACCTTTAAGGCAAGGATGTTGCATTTTTCTACCACAATTAATAAACAAAGAAATCAGAATAAATTATTTATCCTGGGGGAAATTGTGTTTAATGAGTTGCTCTATTTTAAAATTAAATGAAAAAAATATAGATAGATATATTGTAAAAATGAACCGAGGTGGAAGTAATAATATGCAAGAATAAAATCTAAATAAAATCTAATAATTAAAATTTAAAAAATGTAATAAATATATTAAAATAAACAGAAAAGTTGAAGCAGTAAAAAGATAAGATCAAATAAAATACAACTATTTATATAAACATCAGAATTTAAATAAAATGTTCAATTTCTTTAAATAAATGACAAATATTTATATAAAATAAAACACTCACTTGTCTTCCCGTTCTCTGAGTCTCGTTTCCCCTCCATGTCGGCGTAGATGGGCACCAGGGTCACTTTGTAATCGGTGTCGGGCTTCAGGTCTCTCAGCACCGTGTTGGTCGACATGCCGGATACCGGAGTCTGAAGAGGACAAAAAACACATTTGTGAAAGTTGGGAAATGTTGGAAAAATCTACTTTTAACACCGTCTGACAATTGACTTCCCTATTTGATATATCCCTTCTTTAATGAAGAGATCATTATAACACCGACCATGCTCTCTGCTAGTTGATCCAGTTGTGTGCGGATCTACTGGTTTTCTGTAGCAGAAGTTCCTAATCCTTTAAAACTACAATGAAACAATACTAAAAACTAATACAAAAGTAGTTTCACCAGGTGTATCTCATTCTCTTATAGAAGCTATTCCCAAAACTATGAATGAAGTATTGATTATTATCATCACTTTCAAATGTTCTTTCCATATTGAGAAAGATCCTGAGGTTCAAGCCTTTATTTAACCAGTTCCCGTTGAGATCATTGATCTATTTTTCAAGGGAGACCTGCACGTTCAGGTTCATTAGAAAGCTTGAGAACATCCACTAAATGGATCTATTAATGAGGTTCTAGTAAGCTACAATAATGTTGTTTTAGTAACTAGTAAAATAGTAAACTAATAACTGAGACAATTAAAGAAATGTATAACGTCATTAAATGAAAAAATATTGTGTGTTCTGTAGAAACTACTTGGACAAAGAAAGGAAATAAAAAGCACAAATTATGTCAGTTTAAGATGGACCCAATGGATTTATGTTGCAGCAATAGCTAGTCTTTCAAAACAGTAAAACATTTTTAAATTGTAGCTATCACCAGGTGTGTGAACTCTCTGGTCGTTCCATCCTCTTGTGAAAGCAACTGATAGAAAACTGATAGATGGATAGATATGATATGAAATGTAGTGAGCATTGATAATGAAACGCACCATGCTCTCCGCTCCCCCCCCTGTGGGGACGTAGATGATCTGATACTGCCTCACGTCGCCCTCCGCCGGCTCCCAGCGGACCCTCAGAGAGTTGGTGGTCGGGTCGCTCACCTGCAGGTTCTTCACTCCTCCCAGAGGCTCTGGATATAAAAAACGCATTACAGTTAATCCTCTCCGTTAGCTTTACCCCGTGTGGGCGGGTTTCCCCTCATCATCCTGTCCAGATGTCTCAGAGTCTTATCAATCACAGAGGAGTGTATGAAACTCTCTGAGCCAAAAACATCCTCATTCAAACTAATTCACGCTTAAAGGAATTTCTCCATTGGAACACAAACTGCTGCAAATAATCCCTGTCCGAATTTAATTCCATATTTGGTTCCTTTCTATTTCTATTTAAATACTGCTATATTTTACTATATTTTTAAAATATTTTTTAATGTTTTTATAGTTTTCTTAAAATAGTTCTCTATCTGTCTTTTTATTTTTGTTTAACTTTTATGTATGCACCATGACATCAAGTCAAATTCCTCACGTGTCAACCTATCTGGTGATAAACCCGTTTCTGATTTACATGGTGAACAAACAAACAAACAAACAAACAAACAAGAGGGGCAAATAATAAAGTAAAAATGTGATAAATAGCAGTAGGCTGCGATGGGTTAGGGGTCAAAGGCCGTGGTGAACAGGTGAGTTTTGAATAAAGACTTGAAGATATCAAGGGAAGCAGCATTGCGGATCTGAAGTGAGTGAATTTTCTCCGTCAGCTTTAATCTGCAGGGTGCCCCGTGTGGGCGGGTTTCCCCTCATCATCCTGTCCAGATGTCTCAGATACTGGCCAATCACAGAGGAGTGTCCGAAACTCTCGGAGCCAAAAACATCCTAATTAAAAGGAATTCACACTTAAAGGAATTTCTCCATGGGAAGAAAAACTGCTGCAAATTATGCTTAAAGCTTTAGTTTCATCCTGCAGGGTGCACCAGATGGGTGGGTTCACCACATGAGGAGGGTCCAGATGGATCAGGAATCTCTCTGGCTCTCATTACGTTCTTTTGTGAGCCACGAATTTCCAAATAAACAACGTCTGTATTCTCACCCTCCAACTTTTTTGCATGTTTCAGGAAATTAAATACACGCTTCACATTCACTGGCTGCTTCTCGATGGACTTCCTGTTTGAGGCGGCCTGTGGTCTTTTAAGTACTCTGAATAAAAACGTTCCTCAAAAGGCATGTTATTGTAGGAAACGCTGTGTCCTGCAGAGATCGATAAAAAAACTGAGGAGTCAAGAAAAACTGCAACAACCACAAGTTAAAAGATTTATAACTACCAGCTATTCTGTTAGAAATACATCAGACACGTTTTTACAAAGGCAAACACATGGCCATGCATAGAGACACTACATACTGATATACACCTGGACATCAGCAGGAGAGGACTCTTTAAAGTAGAGACACTACATACTGATATACACCTGAACATCAGCAGGAGAGGACTCTTTAAAGTAGAGACACTACATACTGATATACACCTGAACATCAGCAGGAGAGGACTCTTTAAAGTAGAGACACTACATACTGATATACACCTGAACATCAGCAGGAGAGGACTCTTTAAAGTAGAGACACTACATACTGATATACACCTGAACATCAGCAGGAGAGGACTCTTTAAAGTAGAGACACTACATACTGATATACACCTGAACATCAGCAGGAGAGGACTCTTTAAAGTAGAGACACTACATACTGATATACACCTGAACATCAGCAGGAGAGGACTCTTTAAAGTAGAGACACTACATACTGATATACACCTGGACATCAGCAGGAGAGGACTCTTTAAAGTAGAGACACTACATACTGATATACACCTGAACATCAGCAGGAGAGGACTCTTTAAAGTAGNAGACACTGC